CGTGCTGATAATTCCTTGTTTATTTTTCGTCAGGCCACTCGAACCATTTATTTATTACTATATGTGGATGATATTATTATTACTGGAAATTCTTCTACTCTTATTAGTAAATTTATTTCTCTTTTAGGGAAATATTTTGCTATGAAAGATTTAGGGGATATTCATTTTTTCTTGGGGGTTCAGGCTGTGCGAAATTCCTCTGGTTTATTTTTATCTCAGGCCAAATATGTGTCAGATCTTCTTACCCGCTTCCATCTTCACACATTAAAGTCTGTTCGCACGCCTTTACCTAGTAGAACTAAGCTGTCTCTCACTGATGGTGAGTTACTTGCTGATGCTACGGAGTATCGTAGTATGGTAGGTGCATTGCAGTATTTGACTATGACTAGACCTGATATTACATATGCTGTTCACTTAGTATCTCAGTTTATGCATGCTCCCCGTACTTCACATATGTTGGCTGTTAAGAGAATTTTCAGGTACCTTCAGGGCACAATTACTCACGGATTACATCTCCAGCCGTCCCCTCATCCACATTCTGTTCTGGCCTATTCTGATGCTGATTGGGCTGGTTGTCCTGATAGTAGTAGATCTACATCTGGTTATGCTATTTTTCTTGGTCCTAATTTGATTTCCTGGCGGTCCAAGAAACAACCCACTGTCTCTCGATCATCTACAGAAGCTGAGTATCGAGCCATTGCATACACAGTTCAGGATACATTGCACATTCGCTCCATCCTATTTGAGCTTGGGTTTCCTATTCATAGCCCGGTTCGATTGTTATGTGATAATGTATCTGCTTCATATTTGTCTGCAAATCCCATACAGCATGCTCGAAGCAAACACATTGATATTGATTACCACTTTGTTCGGGAACGTGTAGCTCATGGTGATCTCCTGGTGCAGTATGTTCCTACGAAATTTCAGCTCGCTGATATCTTCACCAAGAGTTTGGCTCCTCAGCAGTTTTTATTTTTACGAGACAATCTACGCATAGTTCCTCCTGCATAGATTGAGGGGGTGTAATAGTGTAGAATTAATTATTAGTCAGTTTCCTATTTTGTATTTGGTAACTTATTTATTATAAATATATTCTCAGGGCTACCAGTCTGGTTAAGCCTGTTTATTATTCTCACAATTTGTGCTAATTAATGAATCAGCGAGTTATATTGCTGAGACGATAAACTCTGAGTCTGGTTCGAGTGACGGCGGTTGTCAGGAGTTGTTTTGTCGATCATCTACTATCTGAATGATGCGTTATTAATGTAAGCCCCTCTCATCAAAAAAAAAATACTTGATCCGTACCGGATATTTTTACTTGAGTATTTTTCATTCTAAGATCAAACTAGATCAGACCATATAAAACCAGATCAAATCAAGTTGAACCAGATCAAAGCAGACTTGGACAATTATAATATACACAGAGACATCTATCAAACCAGACTAGATTATATCAGTTCAGATGAGGCCAGTTTAGACCAATTCAGTTCCATTAAAAAAATCCTAATAGTCATAACTATTCCAAAATGTGGGCCCATTTACAAATACCTACATCAATTATCCCCCGGGTTTACTAAAAAGGAAAAATTGAAAATAATAATCCCAACTATTGTCGATCCGCTATTAATAATCTCAACTATCGATTATTCATAGGTGGTCCCAACTATATGGACCATTTTCCAAAAATAGTCTCCAACCTGTTACAACCTGATATAACAGGTCAAATTTAAATGTGAACTATGTGTAAACTATAAATAATCCGAACTATAGTCAACCTTCTCATAATTGTGATATGTTAGGTTGTTAACCATGTCACCCTAAGTTCAATATTAATGAGCATATTACATAAATGTCATGTCAAGTACATCGGAGTTAATGCAGCATACTCTCATAATATTTGTATTACGAGTATCAGTCACTTATGATTTAAAAAATGCGTCAAACTCACAATGTTATGATTAATCATGTGCAACTCCCAATCCCCAAGAGCAAATTTAATAATTTGGAAATAATTTAATTTGTCATAATACTATGATTGAGTATGCAAATAAATTTATCAAAATCTCTAAATTATACAAAAAATCAACTCATTAATTTTATAATTAAATCTGTTCCACGGAGAAGTTTTGGTGATTAGTAATCATAGCAGAGAGGAGGTTGAAGAATTTTAAAATACAACAGGATGTGAATAATTTATATTTATCATGAAATGATCTGATACACTAAATCCCAAATATATCAATCAATATTGAAGTCCAAACATGATTTATTTTTTATAATTTTTCTTGAAATGTAGCAAAAAACCCGTCACAACATAAAATTACATAGATTTTTCAACAATGTTTGATGTACCCACTCTTATACCCACTTTATACCCACCATGTTTGTGAAGTGTTTTTTTTGTCTGTGAACCCGACTCACAGACAATATTTTGTTTGTGCAAAATATTATCTGTAAACCGGGTTCACGAACAAAAAAAAATACTTCACAAGCATATACAAAGGTTTGGTGAACATAAAAGTGAATATAAATATCATTTTATTTTTATGTAGGGGAATAAATATTTTGTTACAGAAATGAAAAGGACAAGTAATAAAGGGGGGAAATTGACAACCTAGAACAGTACATAGATGCCACGTATATGTGACAATATCCAAACCAAAGGGATGTAATAATATGTGGCAGCACTCTAGTGGTCACGCCAAATGACACCCTTGTAATGTGATCAACTGCTGTCCACTAAAAAGATATCCCAAAGAAAGCCTTTCAAAATCTCGAATCTATACCTTCTTGTTTGAAGCAATTTGTCAGAGAAACAAACAACCATGGCGAGCTGTAGCATGGCTTTAGCTGCATCAGGGGGGTTGGTGACACCTAACGCCGGTACCTCCGCCGCCGCCCAGAAGACTTGCATGTTGACGTTCTCTTCCAGGAACGCCGCCCCCATCCTCCACAGGCGGCTTGTTGTAAGAGCCTCCGAAGAGACAGCACCATCGGCTGCAGCCACCGTGACGGCTGCTGAAGCTCCAGCTGCTAAGCCTGCCAAGAAACCTCCGATTGGACCCAAGAGAGGAGCTAAGGTAAAAGCACTACTCTAGTGTACAACATGGATTTACTTGTGTCCCACAAAACTTTATCGAATTATATAGAACAATTCTATATAGGTTTCATAAATCAAATAGTTTTTTTTATTACAAATTATCATTGATCAAGCTTGATCAATCGACCAAGAAAAGGAAATATGACCAAAATTACATGGTTTTCTGGGAAGGAGGGTGTAGTGCTTATTCCATTCCATCGAATCTCATTCAGCTCAATATGTATGAATGAGTATTGATCATTTTCTGTGGAATCAGTTTCCACTAGAGTTGAATTTCTCTCTTGAAAAACACTTTCCTCCTTCAAGAAGATAATGGTTCACCCTTCTTTGGTAAAATAAAATACCACATAATGTTATGCCTTTCGTCCCAATAACTTCCCATGGTAAGTAATTACTTTCCTTAAAAACAATCACCTCTGTGGGTCGAGCTATACCCCATATTATCTGAAACGCTTTCAGCTAATGATCCGATTGGTTGTAGACTTGTGGTTAATCCAGACTTTTCCTGGTTAAATTCTAGGTTTCTCTCATGTAGTAGGTTATTTGAAGGCATGAACTTGTTCATTCCAGAACTTTGATTCATCTCAAAGAAATGTGGCCTAGTGAGTCGTGAGAAAGGTATAACTATAGGAATTCCATCAAATGTTTAATTGATACAACTGTGACACCAATCTCTCAGATATTGCAATTCCAGCAAATGATGACATTATTACTTGAATTTGATTTATTCTTAAGAACTACGGAGTAGTACTTCAAATTTGTGAGCTCCATGTTAGCTCATTTTGTTATAGAACCAGTGAACCTAATAATTGTCACAACATAGTTGTTTTGTACATTGCACATGAACTCAACTAGTTTCACCTAGTTTGAAGTCCATTAGGTTTACTTAAACTCAACCGACCCAAACCGAGCCTCATGAGAAAGAGTATGCATGACTTGGTATACCTCAATCTTATAATTGGCAGGTGAGAATACTAAGGAAGGAATCTTACTGGTACAAGGGCATTGGATCAGTTGTTGCAGTTGATCAGGTAGGGCCTCGTTTTCTTACTATTCCGATCTCTATTTGTAGGGGTGCTATTACCTTGATAGGTATTATAGGAGGAAGAAAAGGAGCACATAGAACAAATTTTGTTTCCTGTAAGGTTCTGCTCATTTTGTTTTGGAAGAAGAGAATAATGTTGACCACAAAATCATATATATAAGGAAATGAGAGATAATTTTGTTTAGAAGAATGAGAAACAAGGTTAAGGTAACTTAGGGACAGATTTCAAAAACAAAGATGTAAATTACCTATTGTTGTGTGCAGGATCCTAAAACACGGTACCCGGTGGTCGTGCGGTTTAACAAGGTGAATTATGCAAATGTATCAACAAACAACTATGCATTGGATGAAATCGAAGAAGTCGTATGAGCGCTCTTGATTTGTCGTAGTACTTTGCCTTTGTGTAATTATTATTGCGGAATATATATACTCTCACGTTTAATTTTTAGTTCTACTCTCAATGGTGTATCTTACTTTTCAGAGATGGCTTCCCTCTCTTTTTCCCATATACTATACTCACTCCCTTTGACCTATCTGCTCAACATTCTGGTTTAGACTTTAATTAGATTGGGCTAACAATCAACTTCATTTTAGCAACTGCCAGTTTGACTAATTCTACCTGCTGTTTTTTACTTATCAGATTTTCAGCTAGATTTGTTTATCAAGTACCAAGTACTCGTATTTGACAGCATTAATTTTGTACTGGTATATGATACGGAGTACAAGGAAGTAGAGGAAAAAAAGGGTAAAAGTTACTTTTTGGGCTGAAATGAAAACAAAGTACGTCACTATTATCATGTGCTAGATATTACTCCGTATTTCCTTTACACAAAGTACATATTGAATGCCTTTTTGGATGTCTGTAATTATGGGTGGACTCGGTTTGGGCCGGGCCCGGTTCGGGCCTTGAACCGGCCGGGCCTCGGTTCACCAAAAGGAGGGCCCGGACCTGAACCGGTGGCTCCCGGTTCCGGGCCGGGCCACCTGGGTCAGTTTTTTTTTTTTTTTGCTTCTCTTATTTAACCCCCTATCCCTCCCCCTCAACCCCAAACCACCCCAAACCACCTCAAATTAGGGGTGGACTCGGGCCGGGCCAACCGGCCCGGAACCGGACCGGCCCGCTACTGTGCGGGCCCGGACCGGCCCGGTGAACCGGTTCGTGCCCGGTTCGGGCCTCCTGGCCCGGTGGTATAGCGGTCCGGGCCCGGGCCTCCAGTTTAGTGAACCGGCCGGGCCGGGCCCGGTTCGGGCCGGAATTTAATTTTTTTTTTTTTTGGAAATTTTTTTAAGTTTTGGGTTGGATTAGGTATTTTGGGCCATTTGAGGTGGTTTGGGGTGGTTTGGGGTGGAGAGGGAGGGGTAGGGGGTTAAATAAGAGAAGAAGAAAAAATAAAATAAAAATCCGGGTGGCCCGGTCTGGCCCGGAACCGGACCCGGAACCGCTCACCACCGGTTCGGGCTCGGGCCTCATTTTTCTGAACCGAGGCCCGGCCGGGCCCGGGCCCGAACCGGGCCCGAACCGGAACCGGTCCACCCTTACCTCAAATGGCCCAAAATACCTAATCCAACCCAAAACTTAAAAAAAATTCAAAAAAAAAAATAATAATTATTCCGGCCCGGACCGGGCCCGAACCGGCCGGGCCGGTTCACCAAATGGAGGGCCTGGGCCCGGAACCGGTATCCACCGGGCCGGTTCGACCCGAACCGCCGTTGGACCGGGCCACCGGGCCGGGCCGGTGGCTACAGTGGGCGGGCCGGGCCGGTTCTGCAATTCATCATTTCAGCCTCAATATCAACAAATTCAGCCAAATTTACCTGCATAATTACAACTAAGGTGATGTTTGTATTTCAGTGTTTTGGCCAAAACGCTGCACAAGCACCTAAGTTAAAATGTGGCACCTGATACAATGGCAATTTTGATATGCTGAATGAGATGTTCAATGCACTGCATCTTTTGTGGTTCAATATTTCAATCTCTGGTGAGCCACTGGTAACGGCAGTATCAAGGACAACAATGTGTTAGAATATGGTATCAATACTCATACTATTACTAATATGATATGGTAGATTTGGATTTTTTTAACGAAACACTTAAAGCTCAAAAGCAGTGAAGAAATTTTATAAAAATAAGGGAAAAATACGTAAGTTTATGAGAGGGTAAGTTTATTGATGACCGTGTGACTAAGGAAGAAGGCAAACCTGGAACACACTTGTTTCATTCATCCCTTAACTGTCTTAGAGAAGAGGGCAAAGCTGTAAAGAAACATAAGCATTAAAAGGCACGATGTTATACATACATGGCATGTGCCATCATTTGGTGGGGGGGGGGGGGGATATGAGTGGTATGTTAGGAAACATAGAAAGTTTTAATCATATGTGGGGTACATTTCTCTAAAAATAATCAATTCATCCAGGTTGCTAAGAATGAGTACACATTCTTATGATAATCCAGGTTCATCCAAGTGGTAACCAGGCAAAAGAAATTGCTACAAACAGGAGAAAACATGAGTAAAGTGTATAGATAGGAGTATTATTGTTTAATCCCAAAGTAGACTCATTTCATTCTAATGAAAAATAAAACTACTTAAAAACTTAAGGAGTATTATTTTAGGAGTGAATGAGTCATTTTGAGACAGAAATGGTTCTAATGTGTCATGATTAATGATTTAGTCCTATTTTAGATATTCTCTCTAACCACAGCGGCATGAATGCCCTCTCCTATAGATTTAGCATTTAACAAATAAATAACAAAATGGGATGGTACATAAACACGAGAAGAGTATAAATTCTATTAACACTATGTGAGGTTCGACCTATCCACGCTCATAAGTCATAATGCAGGAAAAACAATACACTGTTCAAAGAACTCTTCCATCCATGCCATCGAGCAAACCAGACCACATCCCCTTTACAGGTGGAAGCTGAAGTACAAAAGAATTCCAAGGAGGGTATCCGACACCACTACCACGAACACGACCATCCATGCGTAGCGAAAGATACCTATGCACACCCAAATTGTAATGCCGCAACTTCAACATTTTTCCAGAACTATTAAGGACCACAAATATGCTACTCAAACGAATTCAAACAATGATATTATAAGAGCAAATTTTCTGATTCAAAGTATGCTACAAAAACATATAGAGCTCTTTGAATTTATATTATGGCAACATCCTAAAGAAAAAGAAACAAACAGTATGACTATCGTTATTTGTTTTTGGGAAAATGGAAACTAATAATCCAACCTTATAGCGGTCTTCTTACAATAATCCAACCTTTTGGTTATTCATGAATAATCCAACCTTTGCACCTCATCTTCATTCACTGGTCCCTGACCGGTTGATGACCTGCTATTCCAAGCTATTTTCTTATCTTTGCAAATCATTATACCATAAATCTCATCTTTCACAAAGATAATATTTTGCAAAGATAAGAAAATAACTTGGAATCGTAGGTCATTAACCAATCAGGGACCAATGAATGAAGATGAGGTGCAAAGGTTGGATTATTCATGAATAATCAAAAGGTGGGATTATTGAAAGAAGACCGCTAAAAGGTTGGATTATTAGTTTCCATTTTCCCTTTGTTTTTCAATTTAAAAAAGTAAATGTCATTGCAGATGAAGAAGAAAATCAGCCTAGAAATACAGATCACTCACACAGGGGATTCAGGGGAGATATTAGCCAGGTTTTTTTGTTCATCGATCCATCTGCAATAAAAAATAAGGAGTAAGATTATTATTTTTGTATTGCTGGGCCTGGTGGCACTACATCCTTTATCTCAGAAGTAACTTACTTGGTCCAGTTAGCTACATAAACAGGAGAAAGCTGCCATAGCCTTTTTCTCCTGGCATTCTTTTCCTTCATCTGTTCATTCTCATCAAACTCAAAATTCGGCATGTGTGCATCACTAGCAAATGGAACAACAAGCACCCCTCTTTCTACAAGGGAGTCAGTAAATGGTTCACTGAGTTTAAAACACTCAGAGATGAAAGATGAAGGACCAGCAAGAATGACCAGACGAGCAATTCCTCTAAAATCACTAACAGGAAGGATTTTAGTCTCATTCACACGAAGTTTTAGATTTGAGAGGCTTTCTTCTCTTGAGAGCTTAAGTAGTTGGGCATTTTTAGATCTATTCTCCCGGTAATACAGAAAAGCAAATAGGGATGCTGCTCCAATATCTATGGCAAGACCTTGCAAGATCTCGGGAAGTTCTGCAGCCCTTGACGAATTTGCCAGTGCTGCCATGAGCCGTGTTGTGGCTATAAATCCTCCAAGAGCCCCGCTTGCCGCAAAAGCCAGATAGAAGAACATACGAACTGACCGAAATGGCGAAAGGACTTCACTTCTTATCTTGGCAGTAGAACTAAATTAAAAATTAAATCATCATGGGCACATTGATGTTTCATACCGTATTAGAATATAGGCTTACATCCATTTTAGTTCCATTTAGGAAAAAACTAATGTCAGTTACATCAATGTCAAAAAAACTTTTAAATTCGTCATTTTAAAAGAATTGGATGCTAATATCGGAGCTAAAACGCGGTAAAACTAATCATTCACATTTTGAAATAAGAATTAACAAAAAATTGTTCAGCAGATAATACAAGTATACAATTTCTATTTCTTACTTGTCAAATGAGAATAAGAACCTGGTGAAAAATAAATAGGCCGAAATACAGATAGAAACTGTATTAGCTCTCACCAGATCAAGCACTCTTCATATAATTAAAAAACAAATACTCCGTATAACATATGGACACATTTATTCAGTGCTAAGGTTTTACGTGCTTGAGGCCTGCTATTCCTGCTAATAAAATGGTTAAGTGATCGGCAAGGAAACAACGCTAACTAGCCTAAATAAGCTCAAAATATGAAAATTTGCCGAAGATACTCAATATTGGTTGAGAGCGAGAGAACCTAATTTCGGATGATTGAGCAGATTTATTGGAGGCGAAACAGGTTACATAGGAATTCCTTCGCACCACACGGCGTCGTAGGGTTATGCCAGTGACGGTTGTACCGCCGGAGCTCAACTTACAGCTACTGAATTGGCGGTAAAGAAGATATTTCCCGTCGGAACGAAATTGAGGGAGACTGAACGTGACAATATAGTGACAGTGCGCGACTGGGGCGGCCATATCCGGATAAAAGCTTACCAAATGCGGTTTCGGCGGTTACCATAAAAAAGCTCTAAGCGAGTTCAAAATTCCGGTACATCCATCAATTCGGCTGATACGGCCATATGGGTGATCAGTATGCTACCACGAAGTGCACGAGACAAGAGACATCATTTTTATTTTGTTATTTTTAATTCTAAACAAGCCTTTCAATTGAATAATCATATCATTTGCTACCCAACCATGGAGTTCTATTTTGTTCACCCCCTTCATGGAGGGTGAACATCATCCCCTCCCTCCAACACATGACACTTGGCAAAACTTTTAAATTTACAATTGTAATGCCAAGTGTCATGTGTTGGAGGGAGGGGGTGATGTTCACCCTCCATGAAGGGGTGAACAAAATAGAACTCCCAACCATGAGGCCATTTGGTAACGTTGTTTTCCGGCTTATCAGTTTAATCAGTCAACTTTTTCATCAAATACGTAACTTTTGTTTTTACGTGCTGAATTGTGTAATAATAAGAAAATGTAAGGTTAAAGTTACTTTTCTGGTTGTATTGGCTGAAGTTACTCTAGATGACTATTTTAGCTAGTTTTACATATAATTTTTTCATTGTTTTATTAATAAAATACTACGTATATTTAAAAAAAATCTTAAATCAACAGACTCGGCCAATACAGCCACTTCAGTCAATACTTCATAAATTTCAGCAGAATAAACGGAATTTCATATTACCAAACGCTCTCTAATCGAGATGTATAGAAAGTCAATTTTGTTGTACATGAACAATTGGGAGACATTACTGAATTTTTAAACTAATTGTCTTTATATAATAATTTTGTATGTAAATGTACTTTCCCAATGTAGAATAGTAACTCTTATTATGACTTGAACTAAAAACGCTTGCTCTCATAAGAGGATGAGCTACATGATTTGTAAACCGCTTACAAGGAGGTTTCTAACATCTTTTATTATGAGATCAATATGAGACATGCACATGCCTTATATTATCATTTGTTTTGATTTCAATATAATTATGCCCCACTCTAGACGTTCAATAATCACTTCCCTAACTCTAATAACATACTCCCTCCGTCCCCTTTTAAATGTCTCGTTTTATCATATTGGGATGTCCCTATTTAATTGTTTCATACCTTATTTGGTAAAGTTTGTGTGACTCAAAATTATTCTTACTTTATCAATTAATATGAACCACACAAATTCATTTTTCTTAAAACTCGTGTCACCCTCTTCCGTCCCAATAAAAAGGGGATGGAGGTAGTATGTTTCTGCTGGAGACCACTCTGCTTCCTTAGATTCTCTATGTGCCCAAAGAAGTTCTCCTTGATCATTAAGAGCAATTCAACCAACACGACACTCATACACATGTTCATTGACAGCAATGTTCACATTCACTTTCACCCATTCACTCAAAGGGCGTTGTCATCAGTTGTAGACGCTTCTTTGCTCTATTGTGTCACACTATCACCCCCTTGAAGCATGAGCCTCCCTCCTTGAAGCTCTTCATTCAAAACTGTCACACATTGCATTATGATGACGCTTCCATAAATTCTAAAGGATCATTAAAATTTAAAAATATGTATTAGCGCTCCACGCTAACTCCTTTCAAGTGGACTATAACCCTGCTCTCGGCTCTCCGCACCTTTTGAATTACTGTAGAAGATCACCACCCCACCCCACCCCACCCTAGTCATGGACCCGGTTCGGCCCGCCCGGCCCGCTACTGTGTGGGCCCGGAACCGGCCCGGTTCTCGGGTCCGGGTCTGGGTCCGGGTCGGGCCTAGGCCCGGTGGGGGGGTCCGGGCTCGGGCCTTGCATTTGGCGAACCGGCCCGGCCGGGTCAGGCCCGGGTCCGGGCCGAATTGATTTTTTTTTTTTTTTTTTTTTTTTCATTTTTAGGGTTCCACCCGGGTTGGGCTTGAAGGTTAGGAGGGGTTTGGGGGGGTGGGGGGTTAGGAAAGCAAAAAAAAATATGACCAAACCGGAGGCCCGGCCCGGACCCGGTGGCTACCCGGGCCGGTCCCGGGCCTTCCTTCCCAAAAAAAAAGCCCGGTCGGGCCCGGCCCGGGTCCATGACTACCCCACCCATTGACCGCTAGACCGCATGTGCTTCAGAACATAAATGGAGTGCATGGTATGCAATTTCTTCTCGCCCCCCGCACATCTTGCATTCAAGGTGGATCAATGCCCATTGTTTGTGTAAATTAATTGTTGTATTAAGACAACCAACCACAATTTTTAAGAGGAAATTTTCAATTTGGGTGAAATTTTCAGGCCAGACATATGGGCCCAACTCCCAAAAATCAGTGGACCATCAGCCAAAGTTTTCTCGCAACTACTAACGGTGATGAATACTAATAGGAATACTCAAAAAAAAGTGATACCAATGTGCTTTTCCGACTTCCGGGGTAAAAAGTGATACCAATGTGCATCAAAGTTTTTTGCAACTAGATTTTCAAGGACATATTTATAGTTTTTTTTTAGTTACTAAACATACAAATGTATACATCGATATGCAAACGTGAAACGTCCATTAATAAGAGTTATATTTCAAAATTTGACGTGATAGACTGATAGAGTATCCATAAATCCCATAATATGAGTGCCCAAATTGTTCAACTGCTTCATAACTTTTGACTATTTAAAAATGTTTGTTTTTTTTATTGGAGCGGTTTCAATCCAGTCTAATACACAAACATGTCAACTACGAAACTAATATTAGTATAAATGGTTTATTACCATATTCCCTCATTGTAGATTTGTAGAGAAATATTTGTTTGCGGAGTATCATTTTTCTTTCTGAAAAGTTACAAAAGTGCAATATATAAGTGATGACCTCTAGGCTCTAGTTTGTTCTGGCAACTACAAAATGGTTCAATTTGCTTGTCCATGGGACCTAAATGAGTTCAAGTAAAACCACATTAACCTGTGAAAATAGTTATTTGACTTGTCTGTGTGCTAAAAACAGAATGTACGCCCATGATGCTTCTCTTAAAACACTAACTCGCCATTAACCACTTCTTAAACTTATACATCCAAGAGATATACACCCTAATTAGCCATTAATCTTCTCCCTAAATCAGTGCGGAGCTCCATTGTTTATTTGGATAGTGGTTAGCAGAGACGCATAAACCAAAAATTAAGGAAAAGAATAAATAAAACCCCTTTTGGATTCACGAGACAAGCAATACATTTATTCATTGAAAAACAATAAAAGGAGGCTTAATTATGAATAACAATGGGCAGAGATACAGGGTAATAACGCGATCAGATCTAATAAGCAAATTAATCAGGATACATGCAAGGATGTTTTGAATAGGATTAGCTATGGACGGATTAGTTCTCAACTTTTCTGGAACTAGAAGCTTCAGAGAGCAATGGTTCAAGTTCTCCTTTCCGGTGCAGCTTCACAGTTTCTGTAACCACAAAACAAAAAAGAATGAAGATCAGCATTCCCTCATTGAAGTTTGCATTCAAGGTTAACAATTCTATTCACCACTCAATGAATTAAAGGATGCCCATAAGGCATAATATTCCATCCTAAAAAGTTGAGCTAATTAAAGGATGAGCTGAATGTTTTTAGCATGATGAGTTCAATGTTGTATACTACCTACAATGTTTCTTATATTTATTAAATGTGGTTTCATTCTGTAGGATTGTACTATGAAAGCAGGGAAGAATTGGAGATGTGTGAGAATTTTTATTGAGGAATTTTTTATGCATAAAACTGATTTTCAGCACCTTACTTATAGCTTAGATAGATTATTCTAGACCTCTAGGAATATCTTAAGATTCTAAGTAATACAAGAAGTCTAGGAGATTCATCCCTTTGTATTCTCTATTATTGGCTGGACTTAGTAAAGATTCTCTAGAACAATCTGAAATAATCAGGCTGCTTCTATGAAAACGTCTAATACTTCAACAGTTCAACACATTCCTTCACCGAGTTGGATAGTGTTCCAATTTCTGGGCTGCAATAAATGTTCTAATGAACACATTACACATTTCAGAAACTTGTATATGTGTCGCAAATGATAACAAAGAGTTGGATGTAGAGAAAAAGTGCACAAATAGGATCACCATTATTTTCTTCCTAAAATAGAACCCATTTACTCCTAATTGGGGAATCTTTATAGTTTGATCAAACAAGTCCTATTTTGGGAAAACAAAATAGCTGAGCCTATATGTGCACTTTGTGTATGTTTTAGTCCTATTTGGAACAATTTATTTTGGATGTATTCTAAATAATCAATAGGAAACTATAGACAATGAGTACAAGAAACACAGCCTCTTGGAGCATAGATTCATCATGTCTCACCGTTTATGTGAATCTATAAATGCAAGTGCTTCTGAAGTATTAAATAAGGGTTTAATGCGCTCAGTTTTTCGTGATGTACTTATTTGCTCACATAAAAAGAATAAGTGTTCAGCATTTTTGTATAACTTAGGTATCTTGAACTTAATCATTACACTAAGACACATGATTTTGTGACTAATTAATTGGTCATTTCAGAGTAACACAAGGAGGCTTAACGCAACTTTTAATCAAGAAGGGTTCATGTGCAGAATTTATAAATCACAGGGAATTTGGCACATTAAACCCGTATTAATAATGTATGGAGTAGATTGGTTTTTGTTCTAAAAGTTAACGAACAGAGAACATGAAAAAACAATTCTCCCCGAAATCATCCAAATTGGGAGAGTGGGAGTGAGATATGAGTATGGAGTACTTTTAAAGCTTGCCAATCCAAACACAAAACATCTCTTTTAGTTTTCTCTCCAAAATTCTACAACCATACAAGTGCTAAAAGACTGTAAGACATGTGGAGTTGTGGATTAGGTATATACTCGTGGAACAAATTTCACTAAAGTGTGGGTAGAACTTCGTTTACAAGATGCACTAAGAAAGTGTGGAATATTGAGCATATTCAAGAATGGTCTTTGCCACTAATACTAATATATACTCATAAAAGCTCATATGTGTGTGTGTGTGTGTGTGTGTGTATTTGATGCTTAGCCAAACATCTATGGAGTAACTTTTGGCCATGTTTTAAAAACGCACTCTTTGACCTGCATCGTCCCTCTAGACTCTACTTAAGTCAATAAACAAACTCAAATTTGTTAACTCCCACAC